CACGAATGTGACACCTTTGAAACGAGAGAAATTACAGTCCTTATTTTGCTGCAGGGAGGAGCCTCCAGAAAGGACTTTAATGTTCTTTTATCTTAAAATTATTTCAACATTTGTTACCATGTTAAGTTGAGGCCTGTACTCTCTTGATCTTATATAGTTTCAGTTGCATCTATATCTCACTAAATAAAACCATTACCCAGGAAGCCCTTATTTACAGGCAATACATCCAAATTTGACTTTTAAAAAAAATTCTAATTTTTGATGATTGATAGCTCAGCAGTTATTTTTCCACATGAAAAATAGCTATGAAATTACTGTACAGCAAGCTCACATATGCTCGTTAAAGCATTGCTTTGTTGCAGTTTTGTGATTCTGCAGATTGCAAATAAATAGTTGTAGAACTGCTGGAAGCCTTCCATGTTCATATTTTAAGGCTATTTATGATGTTTTCATTAGGATAGCCGTATTTCTGGAGGTTATGAAAATGTCCCAACTGATGATATTCATATGAAGCAAATTGGACTGGATAATGAATGGCTGCATTTCATAAGAGAGTTCATTGCACCAGTAACGCTAAAAGTGTTTGCTGGTTATTATACCAAGGTATGTGTTTAAAATTTTTGCAGATAATTACTGGGTAATTCTAAGCATTCTATTGAATTTACCCTATTTGGTTTGATTGGGGAGTTTATACATGAAGTAGCAGTAGTTATAGATGAAGGTTGTTGTTAAATTAACTTTAAACAAAAAAAAACCCCAAGAACACTGTGTGTGACTTGAAAGTACGCATGCTGAAGTCTAACTGTATATTTGTTTCAGGGGTATGCTTTATTGAATTTTGTTGTAAAATACAGCCCTGACAGACAACGGTCACTCAGACCTCACCATGACTCCTCTACATTCACAATCAACATCGCTCTCAACAAAGTAGGGGAGGACTTTCAAGTAAGTTGCCAACTTACTGACTTAAAAAATACCCTTTGAGAGTCTAATATTGTGTCCAAAGTAGAGCCCAAATGGACATACTTAAAGAACATGTTGAAGAGGAAAAGATAGGTGTCACAAATCGAGATATATTGTTCCTTGATGTCTTTTGACAAGAACTAAATTTGTTCGACTGCGGGATCTAGAACTGTTGATGCAGTCAGACTGAATTGGTCAAAATGATTTAAGGTGGAGGAGAAGGGATTTAAAGGAAAACTTCGGAGATGGAGCAGTTTCATTTTTAACACTTCTGAAATGCTTTATTTCTGTACAGTGAAAACTGATTTTTCAAAATACTTTAAACAGTTTCAAGTTGACTCAAATGGCTTATATTCTTTTTAACTTTTTAAATTATTCTTTATTTTAGATAAACCACAAAAATGAAAATTTTCAACTGCTGTTCCTATTTTATTTTTTATTCTTTCTGAGAGAAGTTATTTTATAGTCTGATACTGATTCAAATAAAACAGTCCCCAGAGTATGGAGATAGCAGGGCAGTGGCAGTAATATCCAGCTTTGACTAGTAGAGAAACTTAACCTATTTTGTTTATAAGCCTATATTATTCACAGTCCAACTTAACACCCATAAGTGTGTTTCTGAAACTTACTACTTTAGAAAACACACCTTCAGTTTGAATGCAACAGCCAGATTAATTTATTTAAGATTTGTTTAAATGCTATCCTGGATTGGGATGCAGGCCTGGAACAGGGCCTGTGAACATGATTTGCTTCTCCCTTGTATTATGTACAGTTAAGTTATTGAAGATCCGTTAGAGTTGCTGCTTGAATTAGTTGTTATCCAGGGAAAGCTAAAGTAAAGCAAGAAGAAATCTTTGGTTGCAAGTGCATGTCTCTTATGTGTTGCCCTGAAGATGTTGTCATTTAAACAACCTCGTCTGCAGAGATAGTAAAAAAAAAAAACAACAAAAAAACAACCAAAAAAACAAACAGCAACTTGCTAAAAGCATATTAATAGTAGCAAAATATTTTAAGGTGTGGATAAATAAAAAGGAACTTGGTTAAAATGCAAGGTAAATATCTGGGGTTTTGTTTTGTTTGTGTTTTTGCTGCAGGGAGGTGGATGTAAATTTCTTAGGTACAACTGCTCCATTGAGTCTCCCAGGAAAGGATGGAGTTTCATGCACCCAGGAAGACTTACTCATTTACATGAAGGACTTCCTATCTTGAATGGCACAAGATACATTGCAGTATCATTTATTGATCCTTAATTTTATTTTTTTGCCCCCTTCAGCAGTGTTTGATTCTCTACATAAACATTTATTTATAGATTTATTTTTTTTTTTTTTTTTCTGGAAGATGGTGATAAAAGAAACTTTAAGTTACTGTTCTTAGACAGCAAAGTTACTTTGGGCTAAAAGAATGAAAAAAAGAAAATGTACTAAAATTGTTGAAGATTTCTCAATATCTGCTCTGAGCCTTGAGTCACAAAGTAAACATGTCCTGCTTATTTTTCCATTCTGCTGTCTTAAAGAGTAAGTAAGGAGGGATGATGGAAAAGTATTTTATATAGTGAATCAATTTCTTTGTTGAAAAAAAACCCAAACAACACTAGATACAAAATTATCTGAAAAATTTATTGTGGTTTTCATCCAGTAAAGTCACACAGCTAAAGTTTGTGGTGTGTAAATTTGGTACCAACCAATTAAAAACTTCAACTTAAAACCAAAATCAAGTGAATCTTGTATACAGTTGTTGAGTATAAGCAATAATTCCTTACGCTGGCGTATACTGAAGGGAAAACATCTCAGTAGCATGTTTTCTTAATTCATTTTCAATGAAGAAAAAATAATTTAATTGTGGAGATGGAGCAAGTATTAAATAATTTAGCTAAGAAAAAATGTTTTATCATTTGTTTTAAAAACTCACCCTATTGAAAATTTACTCTTCACCAAGTGACCTTCTTTTAAAATGAGTTATTTTTCTAAATGTGTAGTTGCACCGAATTGATACTGGAAATTTGGTGTTTATTTTCAGAATGCTGGTAAACTTTAATAATAGGATGTTTTATAAAGACAATTTTCTACTCTTACTTAAAATTACTTGAATTTTGTATCAGGAAAATGAAATTGTGGTAGTCTCTCTTTTAAAGCTAAGGGTCTTAACTTACCATTTATTTTAAAGAAGTTGGTTTAAAATATTCCTACTGTATCTACTGTTTGTAATTTAAAGAGACTTGAAGCAAACTATCTCAAAACTTAACGTGCCAAAATGCACAACATGTTGGGAAAAACTTGTGAAAAATAAAGGGTAATTTTAAATTAATATAACAGTTTTACTTGATTGCATTAAGTAGTTTCTTTACATATTGCCATTGTTCTTACATAAATTATATTTATTGATAAGTATTTTTAAAGGAATTGTAGATATATTTAGATTGGAGGTTTCTCTAAGTGTCAGTTTTTTGGCTTATTTGCTCTTACTGTTGAAATTATTTCTCATGTGAATTGGTGCCCGAGTACATTACAGAAAGTGCTTTACACTTTCAGAACAACTCCAGGAGGATGGATGTTTCTTGTCTGTACCAGCCTTCGTTTTTTATGTATAAACTGTTAAATGATCTAAACAGTAGTTCACTTATACCCTATTTGAAGAAACTTTATATCACATTTCATAAACAGAAGCTTATTTTGAGCTGAAATGATTGGGAGAGGAGTTCAGAGTTTATTCTGTTACTGAAAGTAAGTGTGTCTGCTTATTTCCCTGTTCTGCTGTTTTGAAGAGTGGGTTATAACCATACTTAAAGTTACACTAAAGCAAATACATCATAATGTAGTAACTTAAATAATGTGCTAAAGTGGGCTGGCTTAAAAAAAAAAAAAAAAGGCTTTTAATAGGAATTTCTTTTCTTTCTTTTAATTTCTCTTTATTCTGTCAACTTTTTTCCATTTCAGGGTCATATTTGGAGGCTGATGTCCCCTGACTTTGTTTCCAGACATGGAACACGTCTGCCTTAGTGAGCATCTCTGTATATGTAGCCCAGTGCTTAGGGAAACTTTACAGATCAGAAACTTTACTTCATGCCTTCAGAATGAAAGTAGCTTTTGTTAATCGCCTTTTTCTGAGCATTTGCCTGTGGTCTCTTAGTCTAACTCAGAGCAGGATAATATTTTTACCATTGGATCAGTTACAGACAGTTTACTCTTATGAGGAGCTTTATTGGAAAAAAAAACAAAAGTACAATCCTGTAACACACAGGGGAGCCTGTTTTGCATTATTTTTTTTGCACAACTTGTATTTTAATTATATATTTTTTAGTTCTCAGTTATGTTTGATTTTTTTTTTATTGTGTATTTTTTTCCCTTAACATCGATATGAGGGCTTTACTTACTGTTAATTTCCGTTTGCTACTATTAATTTACTCTCTCGTATAGTGACACACAATGCTGTGTTTGCTGTGCTGCACATTTGTTGGAAGGGAAAAATGTGTTTACCACGTTCACATTGCTAAAATTCTTTCGTTTTATCTTTTGATGAAGTATTTGCAAAGGCTAACAACTACCTTTCAGGTGGATGGCAACATGTATGGAAATGTCCTCATTAATTTCTTAGGAACTGACAGATACTGGAAAAAAGTTTTGTTCTTAATAGTTCACCTGAATTAATTCTGAAAGCTTTGTTGTGCTGTTACCGTATGAGTACAGGAGCTCACACAGGCTAAACATACTTGTCACTATTAGGAAATTATTTTTAATTTTTATTACTTCTAAAAGCACTTAAGGACTCTTGTGTCTCCCGACAAAGTTTATTTTGGGGCATAAAAGATATATGCATCAGGAGGAAAGCAGTAACCTGTAGTTCCAGCAGTGTATGGGAAACCTTGGGTGTACAGGGACATAAAAGTGCTCTGCAACAGGTGAGACATTTGTAAAGTATTTGATTTGTCCTGCTTTCATCTGCTCTATTTTTCACTGTTAAGTACTTGAAGAGATGGTGATGTGGGTAAGGAGTGAGAGAACAGTTTATGGGCAAGAGAATTTCTTAAAATTTTTAACCAAAAGGAGGTTTTATTTAATATTAATGAACTGTTCCAACTCTGATACTCCTAGAAAATGTTCAGGGCATTCACTAGGATTTTACACATTTAATCTTCTTTAACATCACTGAACAGGAAGTAATTCCAATATGTATTTGTCACTTTTTTTTTTTTTTTTCCCACAAAGGATTACTGTTCCACTCTTACTGTGAGCTGATATGCAGCATGTAAGACATAAGGAGACAAAGACATTTAAAGAGATAGAAAAGTCTAGAAAACACCCTTATCATGCCTTCCTCCCATGTGCACCTACTAGTTTTGCTTTTGTTTTTCTGCTTGAAAGAATTTGCTCAGATTTTTCTTCTCAGCTACTGCAATGAGCTTTTTAAAGAATACATGCATTTGAGTTTCCTTTGATTTATTTCTGATATCGTCTTCAGTGCATTGAGCTCTGAAAGAAGGTGGTTTTTTTTTTTGTTGTTTTTTTTTTTTTTTTTTAATCTTCACTTCTCTGAATCCTCACTTTCTTGCATGGCAGATTAACCTGCTCTGCTATTTTTGTAAAAGGAATGAAATACCTGTCTCAGGAGCCCTCTGTGACTGAGGTGTCAGATAAATTGCTTGATTATTATTTTTTTTAATTATGGTATTTTTTTTATTTCATAGGAAACCACGAATCAGAGGTCAGAGCCTTTATAAAATGCATTTGTGGAATTGATATTGGCAGTTCTTATCTCTAAGATTTGCAATAGTAGTTAACTGTAGATTTGCAGGAATAAGTAGTTAATTTATGACTGCCAGGAAGTCCCAGTTTTTCTGTTTCTTCCCTCTAGCTGCTACCAAGAAAGATGGTCTCTGACAGGAAGTTTGCAGTAAAACTGAAATGAGAATTGATGGTGCAGGATTTTGTTGTACCCAAAATGTGTAATTGTCATTTCCAGTGGCTTTACAACGTGGATTCCCAGAGTCTTCCTGTGTCTTAATATGACAGGTTACTCTGGATCTAATGAAGCAGATGGTCCTGCTCAACAGTACTGAAGAATCTTGTTCTTGAATACAAATCAAACATTGAACAGAATTGGAAAGAGCTGCTTTTATCACCTTCAGTGAAACAGTTTATTTGTTAGTTCTATTTTTTCTTTCTCCCCTCCCCCCCCGTAATTATCTTCCCATTAGACATAGCTTTTAAGATGTATGTAGATACATCCCACTTCTGGGATGACAGCTGTCTTTTAGTGTATTTTGGGGCAGAGAGGGGATTGAAATGAGCAGGGTGTGGGTCAAAGTTTTGGAAAGCTCAAAATTCACCATACAGGATTGCTTCCTTCTGCAGCTATTGGCACAGAGCTGTGCAGTGTGTTCCTACAGCACCTCGATCCTAAACTAGTAGGAGGAGGTCTGGGAAGCAGTTGATATCCTGATGTGATGCTAAGGCTGCTAAATGTGGATATTTTTCTCTTGGTAATTTCTTGCTTTTGTAAAGTTAGGTTTATGGATTGAGCTTCACTTCAGAAAAGCTGTTTTGGCTGCATTTAAATACCCCTCGGGATTATTTTGCACAAGAATCAGATGTGATAAAAACCATTTTGCCTTAAGGTATTTAGTAGAGTAAGGCAACAGTTCAAAAGCAGGATTTCACTCAGCATAGCTACAACCTTTATTGGTGTCAGTGCAACTTCAGAAGTAGCAAAGCTGAGAGCCTGGCCAGCATGGAGGATATTGGCTGTATGGCAGACTGTGCTTCGGGGCGATGCCATGCCACCTAGGTAGTAGAGAAAGCTGTGTTTTCTTGAAAAAGCTCGCTTGTGTTTTGGGTTCTGAATATTGTTCCCTCTGTGCTTGCCTGCTCTACTTACTACTGCTTTACAGTTAGATGTCTCAGTGCCTGAAGTTGGCAAGGGAGATGCGTAGTTTTATAGTAAAAGATTTATTCAGGAACTAGTATTTTGGCTTGAAATCAGAATTCTTCTATTTCCAATAATTTTGTTTATTTGTGGAAGGAGTTGCTCAACTACTGATGCCTTTGCACTATTTTGTTTCCACACTTTTTGGGAGCGGGGAGCAGAGAGGGGAGGAAGGTAGCAGAGAAGATTTAGTATAAGCTACTTCCTTACTACAAGGTCTGTAGTACAAACAGGACGTGAAAACATTGCATTTTCAAAACTTAATTTGGAATGGCAGTTAATGCGACCAGTACTTGTGACCAGCAGGAGTAGGGAAGCGATTGTGCCCCTGTACTTGGCACTGGTGAGGCTGCACCTCGAGTACTGTGTTCAGTTTTGGGCTCCTCACTACAAGGACATCAAGATGCTGGAGTATGTGCAAAGAAGGGCAACAAAGCTGGTAAAGGGTCTAAAGCACAAGTCTTATGAGGAGCAGCTGAGGGAACTGGGATTGTTTAGTCTGGAGAAGAGGAGGCTGGGGGGGAGACCTTATTGCTCTTTACAACTACCTGAAAGTAGGTTGTAGTGAGGTGGCTGTTGGTCTCTTCTGCAAAATAACAAGTGATAGGAC